AAATAATGAAGGCATTAGAACACTTAAAATTATCCAGTAGTAATGATAATGGATAAAATATGGTCATTGCTTCTTTTTGGCTATCAGTTACAATATAGTTAAATTCAATACACATTTATTATGTCTAATAACCACTTGTTGCTTGAAAAAATTATTTTGCCCCCTAAACTGCAGGTTTTGATGTTATTTACGTTAATAAAAAAATGAACAAGACCAAGCAACCTACTTTAAAACAAAGGGAGGCAAAGACAACTCTTGTTTTCCTTGGGGAAGGAAGCAGAAATCACTATCAGATTCTAAGATAACCAATAAGAATTCAACCTAACAAATACTCATTTCATGGTCAACATATATAAGGCAGTATTCTGGGTGCTGTGGAGGATGTTACTAGGATTTTAAAATATATGTGATCGTTTATGTTTGTTAAACTTGCCAGGAGAAAATAATTAAATAGACAAGCCTGTGGACAGAGCTGAAAATGATGAGTGGTATATGTATGTCTGTGTGTATGTCTGTGAGCACACTCCGGGGGAATGCAATGACTGCTCCGCCCCACACTTCTGCGTAGCGGGGGTGGGCTCGTGGAGGGGACAGAGGGAGAGCTCAGCTCTGGCTCTTCCCGAACAGGCTTTGCCAGCACCCACGAGACCCTCTCTCTGGCAGCGGGGAACCGAAGTTCCAGCATCCGCACCAAAGCTGGACCTGGGGCACCGGAGTTTTCTTCTTGTTTATTTCTAGAGACTAGAGCACTTTCTAGGTCAGTTATATTTCCCTCCTCAAAGCATCAACTTTGGGATTAGTTTAAGACAGTTACACTTTGGGGAGCAGAAGCACCAGGCCCCTCCAGACGCCTCAGCTCAGAGGGAAGCTGCTACGCACTGGCGTGACAGCCGCAGATGGCTTTCCTAGCTGAAAGGAAGTGTATAACAAGATATGTTACAACAATGAAGAGATGACAACCTATGTTCTAGAGTCATCAGATATTATTGCAAACTGAAAGACTGAATTAAACCAAAGAGCAAGCTAATTTCTTTGCTTTCTTTTAAAAAAATCATTCCAGTTACTCCTTTTAAGGTATGGCATTACTTAGAGACGGTCTACAGTGCCTTTTTTTGGCCTTTGACTCATCAAACCCAGGTTCTACAGAGACCAGAACCTCTGTCCTTTTCTATCTTAATAGAAAAGATAGAAACAAGGGGCTACAAAAGGAAGTGCTTAAAAACAGGATCTGGGACAGGAGTGTTCATATCTAGGGCCCGAGAAAGGGCGGGAGTCTTCACGTTGTAAATCCTGACACCGAAGGAGCCAGCTACCAACGCACAGCACGCGAGCAGGGCGGAGCGGGGAGCTCCCACACGCTTCCCCGTGGACTGGGTGCGTGTGGCCTCAAGGAGGACAGGAGGGTCCCTGCAGGCGGGGACTGTGGCCTGAGAGCAGACCCACCCATAATACGAGTAAAGATGGCAACCTTACTCCACTGAAATGCTAGTACTTAACACAAGGCAGAAAGAGAAAATTCAGCATAAGCTTACACCTTATTTGTATTTAGACTTATATCCATCTTGATGAAATATTTTCCTTTAACTGTGGAAAAATCTAGCGGGAGAACTGACCAAATGAAGTTAAACTGAAACTTTATTGTATACTGAGGGCCTGTCCTCACTCTGCTTGCAGATTGCCTTTCAATAAAAACCCAACAGAAAGAACTCTTTCTCCATTCAGTCAGAAAGAGTCGGACTTTACTAAAGAAGCTGAAAAACCCTCCAGTTCCACACTGTCATTCATAAAAAATGACTTCCATATAAGCATCACCGTGCTGCACACAGACCTTTGGGTAAAGTGATACGCAGGACGTTAGGCCGACTGGGAGCAGGAAAGCCAGCATACGCGTGGAGCGAGAGTCAGAGCCCTTCTCTGGTGGGGAATATTAGTTCCTTTGATAATTATGTCTCCCTGTCACTCATGTTTCTTAACATGTCGAACATTTTTATTAGTACCCAAAGTTCAAAATGTCCCTTTTTTAATATTTCCTGGAGTATCAACAAAATTAAATTGTGATTGCTCTGATTAAAAATTGTCACTGAGCAAGATGACAAATAAGAATTCTAAAACTGAAACAATTACCTTTATTTTGTAAAGTACACTTAAGGTATTTTTAATTACCTTGAAATCATACCCTGAATTTCCTCAAGACACTCCTAATAACCATTTTAAGCACAGGGCCATTCTTTGATAACACGAGGTTGGGAACTGGAAGTCGCTCAAATAGTGAATTTTGTTGTTCAGAACCTCTCATAAACCAAGGCTGTGAACTAACCACATTGTACAGAGGGACTAGCTGGCAAGAATTTAAGATTTTAAAAGAAAACGAGGCCAAATGTCAACAATAAGTTCAGACATCACACTTCAAGCTAACTAATACATTGTTAATCTCCTTGAAGTTACTTGTACCCTAGATCTTAAAAAGCTAAACACATGTAATTTAAATATTCCTTTCCTCTACCATAGCCCTTTGCTAACTGGAGTGTGAAATCAAACATTACCACATCGTTTCTGCCCGATGAGATAATTTTGGTTTTCTTAGGAGGATTATGCCAATACACTTATTTTTGCCAGAAATTAATTTTACTTTTTTATTTTGCAAGATACTAATATTTGCAGTGACCAGTTCCAGTTTTGTTAAAGTACAAAAATATAAAATGAAAGATTGAAATATGTATAAGGATCAATTTTTAAAAATATTATGCAAATTAAGAGCAAGCAAAGAATTTCTAAAGACAAAAGCTAAATGAATCTTTTTTCTTCTTTTGGCACGTGCTCCTAGCGGGAACCGAACCCGGGACTCTCCGGTCCTCAGGCCAATGCTCCAACCACTGAGCCAAACCGGCCAGGGCTAAATGAACCTTTCTTTTACACTCTTGCTGATAGCTTTATATTTTTTTCAAGTGAAAGGACTTAAAATCAACTTCTATGGGATTACAAGCTTGAACAATTTTTCCACTATTGTTTTTATATTTGGTTGAACCATATCTTCATTCTCTTTTCTCCGTTACTTATAAGAAACAGTCCTCATGCCAAGAACAGAATTTGATATTTCAATAACTGTGTAGACCTCTCATTATTCTTTTTCTTTAAAAAAATTTGGGGTTGCCCTGGCCAGTTTGGCTCAGCAGTTGGAGCGTCGGCCTGCAGACCAGAGTCTCAGGTTCGGTTCCCGCTAGGGACACGGACCACCAAAAGAAATATATAAATAAAATAGTAAAATTGGGTTTATGGAAACACTACATTCCCTTCATCCCTAAAGCAGAACTTTTAATATGTACTTTTATTTTAGACACTCTCTGTATACAGTTTAGTATGCATAATGTCAGTGAACAACAATTGGGTTACATTAAATCCAAAGTGAGTTTGGAATTTTTTCAGTTTATATTATAACAGTTTTGCCCAACTTCTCACTTTTTTACCACATCGTTTTGGCACAGTATAGACAAGCCATGGCATTTTTAAGAAGGCAGAGTTCACAAACAATAGCAAATTACTGCTAATTTCTCCTTGATGGGTGCTATTAACACCTATTAACATCAATAAGAGGAACAAGGTTGTTCCCAAGAAAAAATACTAGCCTAGTCTAGCATCGTTAGAAACAAATGGAAACTTAGAAAAAGGATTTGAATGTACCAGTAAAATATGAAATTTTTGGTGCTGTTCTTTTATGAAGTGAATCACAACCATAAATCAGAAACAGCTTTTGAAAATAAGTGTGATTATTTATTAAGCTTTTCTAAAGGCAATTCTAAACTTGTCACTTACTTGAAATATTTCTCCCTTAAAAAGCACTAATGCCTTACATGTAATTTCCTTAAGGAAAGCGAACACTTAAAAATGCAAAAACAACTTTTGTATTTTACCCTAAGTGTAAAAATAAATATTTCAGTAAGGAATGGAAAGAAATGAAGCACATTCAAATAATTTCATTGCGCTGGAAGTTGCCAATTCGTCTGTGAGTAGTTTCATTGCAGATGAAAAGAAATCAAAATACAGGACAGATGTTGAACAAACCACATTGAAGGTCTGTCACATACTGGCATTTTTCAAATGATTTTGGCTCATCTATTAAATAAGGTGCATTTTGCTTGATTTTGAAAAGGGAAACATCAGGAAATATTTAAAGGCCAATTGCTGCCAATTAACTTTGATCAGTAAAAGTTCTATTTGAATCTTTCAGATTCTTCTCCTGTCTGAAATAACATACATTTATAAAATCTAGCAAAACAACTTGATGACGAATGGCTGTTAGCAGCCCCACCACAAGCTTGCTTACCAGCATGATTTAAATAAACAACTGTCTCTATTAACAAAGGAGTGAGATGGAATTATAGCCATACTGTCTCAGAATGGAGAGATAAAAAACAATATTCCTTATTCTTCAGAATGCTACTCATGGAGATCATCATATTTGTCACTGCCTATAACACATTTAATGAGCCAGCTGACATGTGTCTCCCCAAATGATAATGGACAAATAAAATCACCAGCAGTTTGACATAAGAAGTCCTGGTACCCAAAGAATAGAGGCCCAACTGAAATGTCATCCAAGCAATGGGGCCAGCCAGAAAGGAAAGCACCCAAGACAGGGACAGTCTGACACAAACCGCATGTGTGAGTATTATGAATTCTATTGGATTATAAAGGCAATTTATCTCAATGGTGATGATGTAACTGAGAAATCTGTAGCTTCTGATCTATATAACTTAATATTTAAGATTCTTCACCTCAAATTTTCATCCTTATCAATGGTTACGTGGAATCTATCTTTGAAACACAACAGCCCAAGTAAAGCAAAACAAATACCATGAAAGCAAAATGCATGACTGTATAATGCATAATTACTCTACCTCATTATTCCAATTGCATATTCAAAAATAACATCTCTTATTGTTAGACCAATCACCTATTTTCAGACATGCAATATGAAGTTTATATAAAATAACTGAACTTACTTCTAAGTCATTAAAAAATAGATGTGTGTCTGCCAAGTTGAAAATCATTTCTTCCATTCGCAGTCCAAGGGAAACTGAAGTGGGTGGATCCTAAAAGAAGAATGTTACAGGTCAAGAGCACGTATACTTCAGGTTACGTGAAATACAGTGTCACATTAAGAGGGAGTCAGTGTCAGGAAAGACCCAAAGTGACCCACTAGGTGGCTTGAGCTCCAGCTGCCTTTGGTGTGCATGATTTAGTATATATGCAAACTTCAATGATTTATTTTATTTAAAAAGTGCCCCCAATGTTGTTGGTGCTTTGCCTAAGAAATAATGCTGCTTAAAATGTTACAAAAAATATAAAATCTAGGGTTACTTAGACATATGAAGTAGAGGAAATTCAGCTTCATGTAATATATTTCAGGAGCAAGAAAGTCAATGAATCAAGAAGACATTGCTGATGTTATACCACAATCCATTAAAAGTATCTAAAGGCATTGCCACAAATATTAGAAAATAGAAACAATATAGATTAATTTCTGAAGGGCAGTAAATACTAATTTTACTGCAGGTGATAACTGCCATTACTTTCTATTGATTCGCACTGCCTGCCAATTTTGAGTACACTCCAAAGTAGGAGATAATGACCACTCTGACCACCTGGCACCATGCCAGTGCAGGGAGCATATTTAATATTCATATGACACTATCCAATCATCAAACAGCCCATACGGTACACGGAGGCGTCCAGTGACGTCTACCCAACCCATACCCTGATGACATTTACTTGCATCGAGTCAAACTTGGGGGGATATGTAGATATTCGCAGGTTTTGTGGTGTTATGGTATTTGTAATGTATCAAACTGAGGAAGCAAAATGGTTTATGGTGACTATCCTGCATAATTACTGAAGAAAAACATTTCCGTAGAGAAAGTATTTAAGGATGATGCAATATGAGTTTTTGAAAGTTTTAATGGCATTCTAATAACAATATCAACATTCACAGGTGTGGCACTATAAAGTTTTTCCAAAGAACGGTATTTTCTGATATACTGTTTTATTATCACAGTAAACTTCTGGAAGAAGTACGGAATCTACCTGCATCACCATTTGATCAGGGAAATTGTAACTAGAGGAATTATGCCCTCACATCATCTACCTGCATCATCGTTGGATCAGGGAAATTATAACTAGGGGAATTAAGCCTGCACATAGACCACACCTGGCTGGGGCCCGGGTCTTTGAGTCTTAGGCTAGCGTCCAGGACATCAAACCCAGGGAAATAGGATTCTTGCTTTCTAACACCGTCCAACCTAAACCTTGTGTGCTTTCTCACTGTCTTCATTCCAAAGCTCAAAACATTCCCGTTTGACCCTCTACTGTCCATGTATCCACGCTTTATCATTTCTTGAGAATTTACCCCAAGAGCCACTTCCTCACAGGCTCTGGGAAGTGGCAGGAAGTGACAGAGAAGAGCCCCTGACCCCAAGCTCACTTTGATGTCCCCTTCTTCTTGAGCCTCAGTTTGCTCATCTAGTAAGTCAGATGACAGAATGGCAAACACATTGTTCTCATAGCATAAATGGAATAAAAACTGTTTCTTAGAATAAATAAAAGGTTCTTGTCTCTTAATTTGGTTCAGATCACACCTGATTATACACCCCAGAGGAACGATGGAAGCGGAGATTCATTGGGTGCCAGCTAGGGGCCAATCAGCTGTGGCCAGGGAGGTGGCGTCAACCCTGCCTGCCGCGCCCACCAGCAGCATTACCCGCCCACACCCTGCCAACCCCGCCCACCAGCAGCATTACCCCGCCCACACCCTGCCTGCCCTGCCCACCAGCAGCATTACCCCGCCCACACCCTGCCAGTCCCGCCCAGGGTGTAAACTTCCAGAAATCCCAGAGGAGGGGCAAAGGAGGGCTTGGCATCCTCTCCTGCCCTGGGTCTTCTCTGCCAGCTGACAGACAGTGGAAACGGGGCAGAGAACACAGTATCCTCAAAAGTTGGGGAGTTAGGCTGGCCAAGGGTTTAACAAATTCCCCAGGGTTTTTAAGAGGCAGAAAGGAAAGAAAGATACAGAGGCCAACTGAGTGTTGCAAGAGCTGTGTGGGGGGGACAGGAGACAGCACTTCCCTCAACCTTCCGGGTGGTGATTCCTACTCCTCAGCCTTTTCAGACTGTCCCTGCTTCACACCAACTCACTCCTAGGAAACTTTAAGGCTGAGAAGAATTAAAAACAGTTTACAAACAAGTAAAGAAAAACTCTCACTGCATGCTGCTTTTATGGGAACTTGCTCACTCACTCCGATTCTAAGTATCAGCAAGCTGCTGGAAAAGCATATATGCTCAAATATACCCTGGAGCAGAATCAACCAGTGGGGGGAGTTCAAACAGCTGTTTCTAAAACAAAACACCTGACTAAGGTGTTTACTCCCTCTTGTTCAGGCCAATAAAAATACACTGACTTGTCTCATAACCAGGTCAATGAATCTTTTTATGTGGCAAGGCACAGGAGGCTCACCGCGCCGACTTCATTGCCAACTCTGGAATTTATGTGCCACGGTATTGTTACTTTTGAAAAAGTATTCCTTCTTCCTGATATGGTTGCTTATTTATGCCGCCATCAAAAGAACTACTCCATTGTTTGTTAATATATAGCATACTTTAACTTTTCTTCATAAATTAAGAGTAATGGCTTACGAGTCAGAATACTAATAAATTTTAAAGGCTTGTTCAGCCTCGTGGTCAAATACGACACAGATGTTGGCCTTATTTACCTTTTCATGTTTTTCTCTTTTGTTATTAGCTTTCGTGCCTTAACAGCTTTTATACCTGCCGCTCCACCGTGTTATGAACCATTTACTATACCCAAAGAACAGTTTTAAGAGTTAACCGGAATGAGGGAATTTTAGAATAGGAAGGGGCTCTAGTTCGGGGAGCAGTGTTTTTCAAACACTTTTTAACCACGATCCACAATAAAAAAGATATTTTACCCCAAGATCTAGTAATACCTCCCTTCTTCCCTCCCTCTCTCTGTCTGTCTCTCTCTCTCTCACACACACGCACACAGCTGAAATAATGTAAGTTTGGCAAAAGAAGAATTTCTTTGCTGTGTGGGGTGTACTCTGATATTTTCCATTTCATAGTCCATTGAAGTGTCGCAATCCGCAGCTTGGACAGCAGAGCTCGGGAGGACACCTACTTCTGATGAGAGAGCGGGAGAGCTGAGTGTTGGCGGGGAGGTGACTCGCCCGTGCTAACAGCTGGCAGGGTGCGAAGGCTTCTCACCCCGCGTTTTCCCTAAGAGCAGATTAGCAGAAGAGCAGACAGATAACCGTGTCCACAGATCTGCCTACACATTCTGGCAGTGGAGTTCTTCTCAGATCGAGGTTAGGTGTTGCTTTCCTGTTCTAACGACCTTTTAATGCTCTTCCAAGTTTTCAAACATGGCAGATACAAACCAAATGTGACAAAAGCTAACACTGAACAGTTAATAAATTAGTCATAGCTTGATGGCTTATTTTGGCCTCTTCAGAAGAAGAAGAAAAAACTGACATTTTTTTCTTGAGACCCAAACTGAGACGGTAAAATCGCTGCAGTAACGAATTCCAGAGCTGCAGTTTTGAAATGGTTGCTTTTGAAACACCATGTTTTGTTCGATCACTTTTGAAAAATTATAGAAACTTGGCCTCCACTTCAAACAGGCGTCTCTTTTTAAGGACCTTTTTCTGCCAAATCTCCGCTCTTTTCCGAACTTGATCCCTCCGTGGCAGCTGCCACTGCTATCTAATCTGGACAGGTCCCCGTCCCTGGTGTCTCTCACGTCATCGATCCGTTGTGGGCAGCTTCCTGGAACCTGACTGCCCATCATCTCTTCCTTAAATTATCTTGGTCCCTAGGGTCATTTTCACCCATTCCTCACCCTATGCACACCGCCCTGCAGACCCCGCCACACTCATGACTTCAAACACCGCGCCCTGCCCTCTGTTACATCAGATCTCAAGTGTAGGCCCACGTACCAATGACCTGTTGGTCATTTCCACTTGGATGTCCCGCAGAGCACCTGACACTCAACGTGCTGCGGGGGGAGTCACTGTTTTCCCTGGAAACCTCCTGTTTTCCTTCTTTAGGAGGATGGTACCCTGGGACCAGCCCCAAACCTTGACATTCTTCTAAACAGCCTCTCTTTACCCCCACACCAAATCTGTCTGTACATCCTGCCCCTTGGAACTGGATTGTCTTCACCACCCTTTAATGTTTCCCTGGCCAAGTGTCTCTTTTGTAGATATCGTCACCAGATTCCCTCCCGGGCTCTAGGCCCAGGGTCTCACCAGGCCCATTCTGTTCTCCCATCTCTTAGGAAACCTCCAAACTCTTCGGCAAGTACAAAGGGCCCATAAATGTCTGGCTCTTGTTTACCTCCCCAATGCATGACCTATGTATAGTTTTCTAAACTATTTTCTTTTTAATCATAAAACCTTTTCTTCAAAAGATGACTGGGCAGAGGCCTAGTGTAAAAGCCAAGCGGCTCTGGTGGAAGTTCCCAGCGAAGGCCTTAAAGAAAACTGGGCACACATCTCACTGGCTCCCCACATTGATACACTGAGGTCTCCGACCCAGCCGGCATGCTCACATCCCGCATCCTTGCACAGGGCATCTCTACTGCCCCTGCATCTGCTCAGAGTCTCCCCCCGACTCTTCCCACTGACTCATCGGCCGCTGGGTACCACAGCTGTGTGCTCATCTAAGGAGGGCAGAGTCTTATCCCTACATCCTTCTATCCTAGCACAATGCCAGGTACAAGGGCTTTCCCAGGCTGGTAGAAGAACAAATGAATGAAAAGCAGTAAATAGAGAATACCCAAATAATTCCAATGAAGAAAAAAATATATATGTATATATATAGATAATCTATCTATCTATCTATACACACACACACACACAGACACACACACATATATATATTATATATATATAATTTTATCTTTATTTAGTTACCAGGGTTCAGTGTTGGGAAAAAAAAAATTCCTAGATTCCTAACTTAGGAAAAACAAACAGACATTTGAATACTGAAATCATTCTATGTACATAGTACAGGATTAAAC